GCAACTCATGTTTATTTAAATATTTCCTCAAAAACACGTCTCCATATCTGAAAAGCAGGAAGCATTATTTTAAGGATTCAAGAATTCCCTTGAATCAGGTGAATAAATGTGTTTATACCCGCTTTTTAGAAAATTCATATTACACACACACACACACACTGACACACACTCAGGCCCTTCCAAATTAGCGTGCAGTCTTGCAAACTTTCATTAGCAAAACCAAAACAGCTTCTGCTTTGCGAAAGTGCTCCATTGCAAGGAGCATCTGTTTGTTATTTTGACAGTTGTAGAACCTCCGTCTCACCCAGAAGTAGTTACATGGGCTGCCTCTAGGCATCCATGGCAGCCTCAAATATTCTTATGTGGAGATGTAACCAGCAACACCTACTCTTTGCCAACGGTTCTGTATGGCTATATAAATGTAAAGTTATTGAAATTAAGTAGAATTAAAAAACTAATTTGTCTGTTACACTACTCCTACTCCAAAGACTCAATAGCTACAAGAGAGGTATCATAGTGGCCCTTTTATCTTAGAGATAACTGACAGCTGTCTAATCTCCCACTCAATGGGGTGGGAGGGACTCATGCCTAGCACTCTAAACCTAGCCAGCTAACCATGGCTGGAGCGATGATATGCACAGTAGTGAACCTACTACCACCATTTTTCTGTACCAACATAATTTCTAATTGTACTATAAATACCCTTATACCCACAGATAAGTTCAGCTCTCACCAATCGTCAAAGATTTTTGTTCTTTCTACAACAAATGGGGACTATGGCAAAGATCCACCATTGGTCAAAACAAAGAGAATAAATGACCATGAGGTACCTCGGCCCAATTAATACATCTACAGTGTAATCATAAACCTAAAGTGCAGGTACAGTCAGGGAAGAGGGAGTGGGAAGAGTGTAAGAGCCAGAGGACAAGGAAGCCTCCTGTGGCTCTGTGCCTTCTAGACAGGGAAGCTATACCCATAAAATCCCACAAATGCGATTGCCTAACCAAGAGCTGTAAATGATAGTAGTGGACTTGCCAATGTGGGTGGGAAAAATCTCACAAGATTCCCCCCTTAAATGAAGAACTACAGGCAGTCAATGGCTGCCAGGAATGATAATCTTCCCCCCCCCCCAGGGATGAGCCTACCTGATCTCAAGTGGTCAGCCATAAACACGTTAAAAACAAGCAACACCAAATGGACTCAATAGGTCACATATAAACACATAATTACCCAGTAAATAAAGAAAAGGTCATAAATTTGAGAGGAGTCAAGGGAAAGGGGGGAGTTGGATAGGAGAAAAAGGTGGACATGATGTGAATACAGTACTCCTGTGAATTCTCACAAAATAAAATAATCAAAATTAGAAAATGAAGAGGAGTCCAAGAAAGAACTCCCGAGTTTTCAGTTTTGGAGAGGACTTGGAAAGAGTTGTAAATGTAAAGATCTTCATAGACATAGTAACATTCTATAAGCATCTGTATGTGCTGCTATTATTTCCATTCAGTTCTATCTCCTTATCATATATCAATCTCACCCTCTGTAGGGAGTGAGTGAGATCTTGATGGAACATGTGTTGTTGATATGAGCATGACCATGTCAAGGATCCCAATGCCTCAGCCTCATGGGCGTGGCAAAGTCTCCCCTTGATGAAGCCCACAGGAATGGCAAAGCTTTCCTCTGTTCCAAGGGAATATGTTCACAGTGTGAGCAGAAAATGTTCACCACAGTTTCTTCACTTAGATATCTACTGCCTAAAGACTGCTCCCTAGAGTCCGCTCGTACCCAGATTACTGAGACCTGCCTCCTTGTTCAGTGATATATAGTAACTGCCTCCTTGTCTATCTGTAGTCAATAACCCTGTCTCCACGTTCAGTGTTATATAGTAACTGCTTCCTTGTCTATCTGTAGGTAATAACCCTGTCTCCTCATTCAGCAGCATATAATACCCCTGCTTCCCTGTTCAACTGTACAAACCAAATACACTGAGTTGCTGGGGTGCTGTGGCGTCTCCATTAGAGAACCCAGACCACACCACCCCAGCTTTTCTATATCTCTGTATCTGTCATGTCTTTTCTTCATTTTCTTACTGCCCCAGTTAGGTCAATCCCTGGAGCTCCTTTATTTCTTCTCTTCCCTTATTTTTCCCTCCTTCCCCTTCTTCCCTTCCCTTCCCTTCCTTCCTTCTGTCCTTCCTTCCTTCCTTTCTTTCTTCCTCTTTTCTTCTTCCTTTCTCCTTGAGCTACATGTCCAGTCCTCTTTTTACTTCAGATTCTAAGACAAGGTCACACTAATTTCCTCAAGTTGGTCTTGAATTTGCAATCTTCTTGTCACTGCCTTCAAGGATTACAGGTCTGTGATCCTACCAGACCTGGGAGGATTTTATGAATATAGAATCACACTGGTATTCAATTTGTTTGGCTTTCTCCAAAATGGTCTCCTGGCTATTTTAATGTGTTTACTCTACACACGAGCTTTGACTTGCCTAGAAAATTCATGCATTTTAAAAATTGATATTACATATCTGCATTTGAAATACTTTTCCATATTCTAAAGTGAGATTTTCTTCAAAGAAACTTTGGTTATAACACCAATGTTACAATTTTAGTTTTATAAAATTAAATCAATAAGCATACTTCTGCTATGAAATTGTCATTTTCAGTATCAAAATCATATAATTTACACTAATAATATTCATTCAAATGATCACAAATATAAAGGTATAAACTATTTTAAATTTTATGAATGAAAATTCTATGATTATGAAACTTATCTGAGACATTTAGACTAAATACATCTAAAATAATCATATATATGTATATGTATGTCTATCAAACACTTTGTGTTTTGAAGTAACATGAGTCACATTTGCAGTCATACACAGTTTCAGGAAGAGGGTATGCTTGGCTTCCCTGGTGCTACATCAAGCAGAAAAAAGATGCACAATGCTTTCTACTTACTCTGGCTGAAAAGTTTCTTGGTGATGGGAATGGATACTGCAACCCCAAATGAACTACCATTACCTGAACCCCCAAACGCTGGGCTTCAGTACAGCCTCATCACAGTTATTGTTCAGCTGGAGACATATTCTTGGGACAGCCAGTCCCTGTCTGCACCTCTTTCTCTGCTGTGCGAATGAATAACATGCCAACTCTATCTCTGAGACTTGCCAGGGCAATAAGATGAGCAAACATCCTCAGTAAAGCATAGATAGCATGGGAATATTTTGCCAATGGTGCCTAGAAATAATTCCAAAAGTTGGCCTCACAAATCTCTATGACTTCAAACAAAAAGACAGTTTAATCACGTATCACCTCTTTTTTTGTAGATCGCTCTTCTGTATTATTCATTTGTACTTGCTCTGGCTCAAAATGGGTTCTAACTGTCCCTTGACCTCCAAGCAACATAGTATTTTAGTTTAACAATAACAGTGCAATCCAGACACGATGACTCATGACAATAATCACAGCACTTAGGAGGCTGAGGAGGGAGGATTGCTATGGGTTTGAGGCTAGCTTAGGCTACACAGTGAGTTCTAGACCTGCCTGAGATACAGTGTCACACCCTATCACTAAAGCAATTAATTAAAAAAGTAGTGCTGCCATGAAGATTATATTTGGAGGAAACTAACTGCTTCAGCTATTGTTATGTACAAAGAAAAGTTCACAGAGAGACTTTGGAAGGACAAAATCTTACAAAACGTGTTGCTTTCATGCTTAGCACTTCCTATTTTCATGTAACTTTTTCTCATGGGACTCACTTACTTCCGCTTCTACTATGAGTGGTTAAAAGCACCAAGAAAACTTTCAAGTGAGCCATTTCTTATTTTGCCCAAATGAGCTTACACCTTGCCAATCTCACTTCTGACTTGGTAAGGTCAGTTATGAGGGAAGCTCACTAATGGTGGTTTTGAGTCTGAGAGAAGGTAGGGTTTGCTTTGTTTCCTAGAATTGTTGCTTTGAGATTCCCCGGGCATTTCAACTGGGGATTTCTGAGTGACCCAGATCCTGGGAATAAGGTCACAGAGGCTCGTGAAGCACGTAACTTGTGTTGGTTCCTTTTAGTGCTGCATTCTCCTGCCTCTGTCTCAATTTTCCCATTTGCTATGACTCAGCTTCTCCTTTTACTGCATCCTTTGGTCACAATGACATTTATGAGAGAGTGCCATGAAGAATTATTACTCACTTCATAGCTGTGAAATTTAAGGCATGTAGCTATTATACCACTGTCCAAGGAGGTGGATCTGGGCCTCTCTAATACCAGAGCTGCTCTTCTGAGAGCCCTTTACCTATTTCTTCCAGCCTTATTCAGGCCCTTCCAGTTTAGAACTTGTTTACCTTAACATTAAGCTAGACTAGATTCAGGATGACTACCTTCCAAGTCACTACACGTTTTTCCAAGGCCCTACTAATAAATCCTCCCCATGTCCTGCCTGGAACTTGTCTGCCTTTGCCCTGTGGTAGCTGGCTTTTACGTTAACTTGACACAAACTAGAGTCATCTGAAAGGAGGGAACCTCAATTAAGAAAATGCCTCCATAAAATCAGGCTGTAGGCAAGCTTATCAGGCATTTTCTTGGTGATTGATGTAGAAGAGTCCAGTCTATTGTGGGTGGGGCCGCCCCTGGGCTAGTGGTTCTAGGTTCTATAAGAGAGCAGGCTGAGCAAGCCATGAGGAGCAAGTCAGTAAGCAGCACCCTGTCACGGCTTCTCTATTAGCTCCTGTCTCCAGGTTCCTGGCCTCTTTGAGTTCCTGCCTTGACTTCCTTCAATGTTCACCACTTTAGTTGGAGGTGTGAACCTGGGAGATCAGGGCCTAAAAGTGAGGTGGACTAAAGTTTCATGCAATAGCCAACTTTATTCAGAGCATCAAACAATTCATACTTGAGGGTTAAGAAGAATCACGAGTAAGGCATTCAATGGAAGGACAACCCACATGTGGCAAAAACCACGTTTTGCCATTTAGACATATGAATAACAACAACTGAAGTAAACTCTCTCCTACCTGCTACACCTGGGAGGAGCATGAGAACACATTCCAAGAACAATTCTGTGTTCTGAGGAAAGTGAGGTCACAGACTCTTGTCTTGTTTTCTTGGAATTGTCTCACAAGCACTCAGTATTCTCATATGGCTCAGTTCCTGGTGACACTGCAATGATGGACAGTGATGTAGAAGTGTAAGCCAAATAAACTTTTTCCTTCCTAAATTGTTCTAGGTCATGGCGTTATATCACAGCAATAGTAACCCTAACTAAGGCACACCCTGAGTGGGAGTTAGAATCACTTTTATAACTCCTAAGCCTTACAGATGCCTGGGTTATACCTCAGATCAATGATATGAGATTATCCTGGGGTAGGGATTGAAACTTCTCTATTCTGATTTCATCCAGGATCAAGGATGACAAGTGTATATCCACAAGCATATTAATCATCTGTCAAAACAGTGACTTAGGATGGGATCAACCCGAATAATTTGTGTCCTTACAAATCCCTCTCTAATAATTCCATACACTGGTATTATCACTTATTATCACCTTGTCCTTTCTATTTAACTATTGAATAAGTATTTGAGTGTTTATTGAGGGCTTGTTATATGGGAACCCAATGCTCATGCCTGTTGTATATGCAATCTTCTCTCCTCAGTTTATAGAAATCACCCTCAGAGAGTGGGTCACATCTAATATTACTCCATCAATCAAAACATGCCTATTGCAATTGAAGCTCATATCTGAATCTGATGTCATTTTGTTGGATGACTCCAATTCTGTATTTTATCCTTATCTCCATCAATTTTTCATCAAATATTTATTAATTTTTATTATATGGAACTTATTTTGATAAATCCCATCCACAGTTGCTGTAGTTTAAGAAGAATCTTTATCTTTTGGTGCAGATATTCATTTGCTTTTTAAAATGGGCTTCTGCTTTTATTTCATTTTTTCCTATTTTTTTCTTGACAGTTTCCTACATTTATACAATGCGTTTTAGTGATTTCACCACCACCCCCGTTTCTCTCTTTTACCCCTCCCTCTTGTTGAAATCTTTCTTCTGAACAAGTCCCCTCCTCCTCTGATGTTTTCATTTGTATGTGACTCTGAGTTTATAGCTACTTCCGAGTGTGGGTGGGAGGTACTTTACTGGAGTATCAACAACATACCTTCTTGAAAACATTCTAAAACCGTTGCAAAGAAAACTCCATTGCTCGTACTAGAGGCACTTCTCATTCAAATGTCACTGATGTCACATAAAATGTTCTGGAGGCTAAGCTGTAAGAAGGCTTAATAGTCCACAGAAGGAGTCTGACTGAACATGGTTAAACTGAATACGTTAGATTTCTAAAGACTATTTTGAAACACTACACTGCCCCAGATGAGGATTTCATGGTAACTGGCTGAACACCAACTTCTCCCTCCTCATCTTGCATTTCATGACTTGTTTAAAGAGGAAAAAAGCAAAGGTTTCAGTTACCAAGTAAACAGGCTAAAAATGTACATCCTGTGAAAGCTGCAGAGAATGCGAATCCACAGGAGTCTGAAGACTCAGAAAGGGCAGAGGACTCACAGTCGTTCTACAAACACCTTTGTTCCCCCAGATCGGCTCCTTCCGTCCCTTAGAAGCCTTCCCTCCTGTCCAGTTTCCCTTCCTTCAATAATCATTCCCCTTTATTTCGATGGCCTGTGACTCATTTCTGAATCTTAGCTGTGGACAAATCTTAAATGTATCTAAAATAAAGACATTCATAGAAGAAAATGAAAATAATAAAACGTCCCTTATAAATTTGTCTTCATCCTGTGTCCCATGCTTCCTATGTATCTTTGACCTTCTTAATTCAGTGGGAAACGCTCTCTTAGCCTCCGCACTCTGAATCACAAAGAGTCTCCCAAAATAAAGTCATCTTTTTTTTCTTTTTTTTTCTTTTTTTTTTAGTTTTTCAAGACAAGGTTTCTCTGTGTAGCTTTGCTCCTTTCCTGGATCTCTGTAGCCCAGGCTGGCCTCGAACTCACAGAGATCTGCCTGGCCCTGCCTCCCGAGTGCTGGGATTAAAGGCGTGCGCCACCACAGCACAGCTAAGTCCATCTTATTTTAAAGAGCACCTAATGTCTAATAAACTAGGTACTTATTCCCCAGAGCAAGGCTAATACCGTATTCACATTTTAATCCACAGGCATTTACTTGGCATCTAATGTGTGCTTTGTAAGACTTTTCTGCTCAGTAAGGTTGCCTAGAATAGGATGAACGAGTGGTTTGCAAGGTCACATGTTTGTATTTTATTTGGAGAAATAATAAAACTTGCAATAGTTGATGTAAATTTGGCACAAACTTGCTCACACCTGTCAAGGGAATATAAAATGAAAAATCCTGTCTGATCATATTCAAGTGGATTAATACCGACCTTTGTTGACACTCACGTCGCTGCCTGAACACAATCTTTGAAGTAAGGAAATGTGTGACTTTACTTTCTTTGTGCTTAGTTTTGTCAACAGTTAGAGGTCATGTTCCTGAAGATAAGGAGGCACACCACACTGCAGAGATATAGATAGACATATATATATATACTCAGAATTGATACAACTGTTTCAAACTGTCACCGTAGCGCCGCAGACCACAAGCTGCCTCCACTTGCGAGCAACTGAAGTATTTTAAGCAATTCTCTCACACAATAGGTTTTTGTTGTTCACAGTTAAGATGTGGACTGAGGGTCAAGGGTACTGAGAGCAATGAGTGGCAACCTTTCATGCTTCTCACCTGATGGTTTTCCTCTCTTTCCTCTCAGCTATTCAGAGGGCTCTGGGGTAAAACCACTGTACTGTGAGCATTGAATCTGCAAAGTGTGAGTGACCCTGGGGCACAGACAATAGAGGCTCACACTTCACACTGGGACCTTAATCAGCATTTTAATTGTTTAGCAGGCAGGTATTTAATTAAGACGCTGATGCTTCCTAGTTTAACCCACAGCACTAGCCCCTGAAACTCACCCTGAATAATCAGCATGATTACTATCATTTGGGGGAAAGGAGCAAAGGGCTCTCTCTCTCAAGATGTTCTCTCTCTTTTAAGGTGCATCTCTGCTGCTGTGGTTTAATTTAAAGGCAAAAAAAAAATTACCAGGATTTGTTTTTGAAGCTTATAGGACTGTGATGAAAAGAATATAATATTTGAGGTCAGAATAACCCATTGTAGATGTCACTTAGGACCCGTTTGGCCCTGGATGGTTTCTCTATTGTCTCTAATGTTCTCTTTCTCCAATAAAATTAAGGGAAGGGACATGCACCACATATTCTGTGTGTGGGGTGGGAGCGAGATGACAGGCCACTCTATGGATGCTGTGGATATCAGCTTGTTCCTTCGGTGTCTCCAAAGAAACACTAAGTTTATTTATTTTAGAGCAACTTATTTTTAAATTATTCTTGAAGAAGACTACGTAATTTAAATTATGTAGTCTTAACTTAAAGTAAGATCTGTGGCACTTTTATGGCTCTTCACTTTCTGAAATAGCATAGAGGATGATCTCAATTAGTTTAAAATGTAACTCAGGAGCCCACAGTGGGCCAGTGAGATTCCTTAATAGCAAAGGCACTTGCAAAACCACTGGTGACCTGAGTTTAATTCCCATGGAGGTGAGGGAGAAAACCAACTCCTGCCAGTGGTCTCCTGACTTTCCTACACACCATGACACATGCGCACCCATATACATGCACATATAGGCATGTGCTTACACACAAACACACACACAAAGTAAATAAATATAAAAAGTAAGAATTTAAGTCAAACAACAGCTTATATTCTATTGTTCAATGTTTAGTGTAAGATGAAAACAGGAAAAAATATAGAATAAATATGTTTTATCCATTTAAACTGTTTCCCAAGACAGGTTGTATAGCTCAGTGATAGAGTTATTTGCCTATTATCTGCAAGGCCCTGGTTCTGAACCCCAGTACTTCAAAAACAAAAATTAAAAAAAAAATGCCAAAAAAACTGTCAATCAATCATTAAACATATTTTGCCAGGTGGCATAATGAGCCTTCAGTTGTGGCTCATGTGCTTTTCCTGAGCTTGTGAGAAAAAGACATCTAAAATTCAGAACTAGATTTCTAAAAAAAAAGAAAAGGAAGGAAGGAAGAACGGAGGGAGGGAGGGAGGGAAGGAGGGAGAAGAAAAACCTAAGAGCTGGAAGACAACGGCAAAGCTGCATTCCTACAGAGCAGTAGAACCTGAAGATCTGCAGCTCGGTTCGCACACTCACAAATTACACCGTTAACGGGCAGGAGTGCTGCAGGACAAGGTTCAAAGACTCACAACAATTACATCACAGAAAGCAGCCTGCCACTCGGGGCTAGCCTAGCCCTTATGACAGCAATGATGCCAGTCAAAAAGAACAAAAGCCTAATTTATGCAACACTGAGATGGGCCGCTGTTTGGGACTAACTGCCTTTCTTGGTGGCTGCCTGATTCTCTGCAGCCATGACCTCAGAAGAACTGCAGGGAAGATGGGACTCCATGAGGGAAACCGCAAAGGTAATTCCCGCCCCCCCCCCCCCCCCCCGTGGCCCCTGACTTAATAAATAAGACCTGCTCAGATGGGACTACATACATTTGTTAGTCGTACTGAATGGTCTGACTCATCTTTGCATCTTCCCGGACAGTCATTAAATGCTATGTACTCATGGAAGCACTTCCCAACTCTTAATTCTGCAGTCTTTCGAGTCTCAGTCTCACCCCTTAGCTGATTGACATGAAGGTGAGCCACTTACCTTCCGCTCCAAATTGGGTATCATTCTAGAACCTACCAATGGAGGCTTTCCAGGATAGTGATCTGAGTCAATAATTTTGTAAACTACCTAGAAAACCGTCTATCTATAGGAGGCACTTCCATGAGATTTCTTAAATAAAAAGAACACACCTCCAAAAACAGCACCAAGATATTCAGAAAAATTAACTATAACTACAACTTATGCCAAAATCTAAACCTTCAGCTAGACAACAACCAAGCCTTTAAAGACTAAAATATTGCTTTAACAGTTATTAAATAATTGTCTAAATGTATACATGAGTAGTATACCATTAAATATATAAATTTGTAAATCACATCTACTATATATTACTTATTATGTATTTTATTTAACCTATTAATGTGTAAATGTCACTGTTCAATACCACACTGTTGTGTTGAAAGTTGCAAGATCTAATTGAATACATGTCTATTTCCACTCTGCTTATATATAAACATATATAAAACACGAAAATTCAGATATTTCAATTTACTGCCTTTCCCATAAATAAACATAGTTTTTACACACCTATACTAGTTCTGTCCAACAGTAATTAATTAAAGCTACGATTGACTTAAATCATCTAAATTATATTATTTTCAAGTAATAAAAAACATGGTTTCAGAAAACAGTCTGTACAAAATAGTCACTGATCTAAGCAGTCTACATACAAAGAACCAAAATTACAACATGGGCTCAGCCAGAAATAATTTCATTTTTGATTTTCATATTTTTTTTAAACTTTTGGTAATGAGAAATATTTCCTTCACAATAGAAACTAGAGCTTTCATGTCATATACATATAAAGCTCAACATTCCTATTCTTGTTGGCAATCAGGAGTACTTTGGAGCTGGTCAGCTGATGCAGATTTCTCTGCAAAGCAGCTTCATGCTTATGTTGGCAGACCTCCTGGGGGAGATTGCAGTAACTATATTTAATGCACTGTAAGGCACTTTGCTATTTGTGTAATGTTAATATAGATTTGAAACTAGACTATGCCTAGAAAGAGTAAAAAACATAATCATGACCTAAGGACCAATGGAACAAACAAAATATCAAAGAAATGACTATTTTAATAGATGGAGACCACTAGAGAAAACCACAACCAACCAAAAGGCAGTTATGGAGCCCACTCACAATGGATACATCTCCAAACACTCCTGCATCTAAGACTCAGAGAATAATGTGGAAGATGGAGCTGAAAGATTGCAAGAGCAAGAGAATCAGGGAGTTTGCTGTGGGATTGTTTCTCCTTGTAATACCAGAAGCTATACCCATAACCTCTCACAAACATGAGCTGCCCAAACAGGAGCTGAACAAGGATGACACCAACGGACATGTCAAACTAGATGGAGAAAGCCTCAATCCTGCACAAAGAACTACAGGCAACTGAAGAAAGCTGGGGACAGGAGAGGTGTTCTTCCCCAGGGAAAGAACCAATTGGTTGCCTAGTGCCAAATGCTCAGTCCGGAAAACATACATACAAATAATCTTATTTAGACCAAAAAGGTTATATATTAAAGAAGACCATGAATTTTAAAGAGATCAGGGAGGGGTATATGGGAAGGTTTGGAAGAAGAAAGGAGAAGGGAGAAATGTTATTATATTATAATCTCAATTTTTAAATGTCTCAAAAATGTAAGAATTAAAAAGAAATCATACCAAGTAACCAGCGGTAGTGATTACCCATTTTTAGTTATTGATTTTATCGACTGTTTGGCTCAGCAGATCATGCTGACTTCTTAAAGCCCATGAGGCCATATGCCTGAGGACTACACAGCAAAGAGTCTTCTCTAGGACAATGGTGGGGTCATGAAGGTGAGAGCACTGATGAACTGTCTTCTCCTCCTTTGGGTGTTGCATGAGATCAATCAGCCCCAGGGGGGCACACTGATGCTATCTTAGTCTCACTTTGAGTCAATGTTCAGTTTAGTTTCTCTAGAGTGGGAGTCATGTCTGTTTCATCTTTATATGTGCCCAGGACATTTATCATACACTGTATACTAGATGAAAATATAACTCAAATGAGAGAAATTGAGACTCTAAATACACAGTTCATACACATACACACACACACACACACACACACACACACACACACGTGTTTGTGCCACACGTCATGTATGGAAACCAGAGAACAATTTGTGGGAGTTAGTTTTCCCCTTCAACTATGTGTCCTGGATGATGAACTCAGGTCATCAGTCTTAGTCATAAGTGCTCCCCCCCACCCCCCACACCGAGCCATCACACTAGCAACAGTAAAGAAAACAAAAATTTAAAAAGAAAATGCCAAGCGATGGAGATGTATTTTAGTGACGGCCATGCTAATTGATATTCTAAATGCATGCTGTGGAATTATTTTCTTAATATAGGGAAGAATTTTTACACTTAAAATATATTTGTGGCATCATTTTCAAACTCTGACAGGAAGTGCTTTTTGAGAATTATTTGCCCCTTGATTTAAATAAACACACTATTTCTTAAACACACACAGTGGGTAAACAACTTCAATTTTTTTTTCTGGTACTTATTTCCTTTCCTAAACTAAAGTGGCTCTCTGGGTATCACAGCTGTCTAACATCGGATTAGAACTCCAAGAATCCGAATGTGAAAATGGCATGTCTTGGGAAATTCATCAAGTTCAATGCCCAATTCAGATGTGGCTTACTGAGGGCTTTGTGTGTATGTTCTACATGTGGACGCTTAGCTACAACCTGCAAGGATGTAATCTTTCTACGCTCAACTGACACATTCAAAGCTGAAAATAAATACCAAACAGTTTGATAACAAGGCACAGAATACAGTTCCCTTTGAGTATAGTAATATTGAGTAGAGTAAATAGTAATACTGATTATAGTAATGACTTCATTATATGGACACCCATAAAGTTGTACAATAATTTTATTTTCAACAATTAAGAAATTAATAAAGTGAACCAGTGGAAATTGAATCAGGCTGAAATGGCAACAAGATGGAAATGGAGCAGAAAATTTTGAGACACCGTTAGATGATGGACTGGACAAGTCTTATCAGCAGTCCTTGAGATGAAGCAAAGGAGAAAATAAAGGTGATGGGTCCCACGCTTGACTTCATAGGTGGATACTGATGCCATCTACTGAGATCAGGAGCACAAGAAGAAGAAGGCATTAGGAGCTAAGGAAGAAGACTGGGAAGACAGTGTCATTTGAGACGTCTCTGAGGTGTGTGTGGACATCTAAGTAAGGACAGACATTAAACAGGATATCATTAATCTGGCAAGGAAATGGATTGAAGGTAATATATCTGAAATATTAGCATATAGGAAGCCAATCAAGCCCTGACTAGGCAGAAGGTCACTAAAAGACAAAGCAGACCAAGGAGAGGAAAAGCCCCGAGAAAATGATTCCCTATATCACTCAGTTTGTTAAGAGGTATTATCTCGTTGAAACATTGTAAGACTTCAAATGTGTGCCTTGATAGCGTTGGGTGGCGGCGTTTCAACAACAGCAAGCAGCTAGCAGGGCTGTAATTAATTTTGCTTTCTAAACCCTTCGAACATCCTTTTGTTACACTGTGGTTTCCTTAAGTTACCACATGCTACCTTCTCGAGCAGATAGGGCTGGCTGGTTTCATTTTATGCCACACAAACAAGCATGTGGCATGAGGTTCAGTCTTTTAAACCACACAGCCCATTGTATATGCACGTTTTAGCAAAAGTATAGACTTGTATTCACACAATTCAATTAGAATTATGGAAGTTATCTAGTTTTTTTGTAGATAAAATCATTCAGAAAAAGATTAATATCTGTTTTGATATTGTTCATTGACCTAATTTCTGTACAGTTTTTCTAGAACAACCAGCAAAGAATAATTAATTTGAGCTTTGGTCTTTTTTTTCTTTTATTCGTGAGGTCTGTGTGTGTGAGAGAGATTGTGTGGTGTATGAGTACACAGGAGAGAATTTTATTATTCTCATCTTATTCCCTGTTAACAAGATCTTTCATGCTAGCCTGGCAGTTAGCAATACTCAACAAACTCCTTGTATCCAGTCCTAAGTTGCTGGTGTTATGGGCCCACATGGCCACACCTAGTTTTTACTTGGTTATTGAGGATCTGAACTCAGATCCTTATCCTAGAGCAGCAGGCATTTTTACACACTGAACTATTTCTCCAGACTCCCGTCTTTGTTTCTAATCCTTGATTATCAAAAACTCTGCGTTCAAGAGCTCAATAATCTCTGTTCTCTGTCTGTTCCCTATCAGTTACAAAAGTTCTGCTGACTTTACACCACCTAGAACTTCACAAAAGTAGCAACATTTGTATGCCTGTGTCATGATGATCTTGTTAAACTAAACCACTAAATAATAAATAAATAAAGCCAACCTAGCCAGGCATAGTATTATTACATATAATTTTAAACTGTTTTCTGTGGCCAGAAGCATTAGAACAGCTGCAAAATACCATTAAAAGTTTAGGCTGGCCAGGCAGTACTCTGGAGGCAGAGTCAGGCACATCTTTGTGAGTTTGAGACCAGCCTGGTCTACAAAGTGAGTTCCAGGGCTGTTACACTGTTTATTGAAACCGTGTCTCAATAAACCAAAAAAAAAAAAAAAAAAAAAAAAAAAAGTTCAAGGTTGCTTTCTTTTGGTAAAATATAATGAAAGTTTAAGAAATGTAAGTTATCTCAGATCTAACTTATCAACCTATTCCCAGTGACTGTAGGTAGGGCTCCAATTTTAAGCCCTAAGTACCCTCTCAAGGCCTTTTGAAAATTTCTAATCCAGTACAAATTTCACATATAGAGAACTAATCTCATCTGTGTTCTCATATGTTATGACATTCTCTGTTGTGAAGTTACTGAGTCTTCTTCCTCAGCTACAATATCTTAAATGCTATGACTTATTGTGGGCCTATTCTGAAGTGACAACCATTGTTGCTAGGGAAGAAACTACATTTAGTGTGCTAATATAGATAGGATTCATGCCTATACTATATGGTGTTCTACAGATGCCTGTGGATCCAAAAGAAACCGAAATGTCGTACACTGTCAGGCTGTTTAAGGCAAGAACTGAGTCACGGAGTCTTAGACTCTTGTTATGTTTAGAAATCAAATTGGAATCCATTTGTAGTATCTTGTTGAATATGTTTCTGTTAAAAATGTGAAGATTGATGAAATGTCCAAAAATGTGTTAAATATAGAGATATCCAGACTCAGAAAAGTTCTGGGAAAACAAATCCTTAATTGGGTACAAATAAAGGGGTCAACTTACTTTTTATGTTGAAGAGCAGTATTTTTTCCCATAAGAAACAAGAGAAAACCCCACTCTCCCCATATTCCAAATGGTTTGGCTTATTTCACTGAGCACGAATCCTCTGTTGTGGGATTGAATGGGACTTGGTGAACAGTGGTGGCAACTGTTATGGGGTCGGAAGCTCCAGGATTTTCAACCAGGTCTAGTGTTATGGAATTTGCCTAAATTCTATTCTGTTAGAGCATAAGGAAATATTCTCTCTTCCTTATGTGTAGAGTAATTTTAGAATTAAAACTCTACATACATTTTCTACAGATGAGCTAATCTATCACAAAGATTCAACCTCTTGCTTCCCAGAGAAGCAATGGCACTACATTTGCTGCATTGTGATTTTTCAATCTACTTTTCTATGTTCTTGTGTGTTAGGAGCTCAGCAAGTATATGAAGTGTGGAGAGATCCAGTCCCATGTACCTTCCTAAACATGTAAAAAGGCACCAAGCTAGCAAGAGGCAAGAATAATTATATGCAGATAAGTGTACTAAAAAATAGACTAAATGGATAATGGCAGTATTAAGTTAGAAAGTGAAATCAGAAAGGTTATGCAAATAGATTAGAGAATGTATAAGCAACAAAACCAATCAGAGTTACAGTTAAATATATTATTTACAGTTGTGAAATTTGGGCATTACTTAGTTTTTAGCAACTTGATCCAGTTTCTTTCTCTGTGAGAGGTAAATTATATATGTCTACTTTTGAAGATGATGTGAAGACAGAGAGTGTATATAAAGTGCTTAATATAAAATGTGCATAGTAAAGCTTCAATAAATGGTAAGAAAACACCATTAACCTTAGAAGTGATGTTTGTAAGTAGTATCATTATTTCCCATTCCTTGTTATTAAAAATGGAAGAACGGGAATTTTGTTCTAAAATATTTACATAACACCCTGATTTATATTACCTCTTCCCCTTGATCACACTTTAGTAACAAATACATGGTTCTGGAGGAATTGTTAAGACAGTGTACTGCTCTCACAGAGGACCAGAGTGTGGTTGTCAGCATTCATGGTGACTGCCTTACAATGGCCTGTAACTCAGCTCCTAGGGATCCAGCATTTTCTTCTGCTCTCCATGGTATACACACACACACACACACACACACACACACACACACACACACACACAATTAAAAATAAAAATATACTTGCACGTAAAACAAAAATAAATAAATTTAAAAAAATAAAAATATACTCTTTTTTAAACAAAGACAATGGTATCTGATCCTTTTGCAAAGGACCAGAGTTTGGTTTCTAACACCCATGTTGAACAACACACAACTACCTGTAACTCCAGCTCCAGGGGATCTTTCTCTTCCAGCCTCCATGCACAGCAGGCACACACACACACACACACACACACACACACACACACACACACACACACGCAGGCAAAATAGTCATCCATAAAAGACAAAAATAAATAAAATACACTAAAACAGATCCATTGACAGCATTGAAAAGAACAGTGGATATCATCACCACATGATGGTTTTCTACAACTCCCCGTAAATTGGAAAGTAAGTGGATTAGCATGGTGCATGAACAGTAAAGACACGATGCTTCTGAAGCTGTAGGTGAGCAGCTATGGGAAAAGAAGGTACTTTATGCCTAGAATCTCAAAAGCTCCAAATTTGGTGTTGAGACCAGGGAGTCAGAGATCATACAATAACGAGAAGAAATTGGAAATATAAGCACAGACAGAAACAGTCAGGTGGCATTTCATACTGAAAACTGAAAACATAACTATTACTTATTATGGATAATAAAATGGGCATGATTGGAGAATAGGTGTTGTTAATAAAAAGCAAAAGTGGCAAGAAGAGTTTTCCAAAGACAAAAACCACTATTTTCTCTCTTATATTTAGTTACGATATACACTGCCTATAATTTTAACTGTAACAATTTTTCAAAAACTCTATTTTTTAAAAAATCTCAGTTTATTCACTTCCACCATTTCCTACTATTATTTGCTTTTTCACCTCTCTTAAATAATCATTCTGTTGTCATACAGTGTCAAGAATATCACTTTCAAATATCAGGCATCCTATAGTAATTGATTTCTTGAAGGATATCTTTATTAATTTCTATTTCATAGCATCCCTTTTTCTCTTGAGATGAAGCATTTTTTAATTTTCCTTTGTACTTTGAGTCAGTACACATTAAAACATATACAATTAGGTAATACATTATTTTAAAGATATAAAATGAACTAAACATTACGTTTTCACCAGCCCATATTCCCTGAATATTGCTAGTCTTACCTTAGCAATTAATGGTTTTCTTCTATAAGCTGCTAATTGCTTTAGGCTCCTGTTTTATTGCTAAGCATAGGCAAAATAGCTTGGAAAATATTCAGAAACATCATCAAAGGTCTGTAGAAATCAATTTATTGATTAATAGTCATCATTTTTGTTTCCATGAAAGCATAATTCATCACTAGTAATAAGTCAAGTTTGGAATTATAACCAGTAGATATTTGTTTTCTTTATTACTATAATGACCTAAGGTGGAAGTAAAAATACTTGTTCAACTGTTACTTCTCTTCTTAATTCTGTAGATACCTATTCACAGCCACCATATAATAATGAATTGGAATTCCAGAACTAAAGCATAGCTGTAAGAAGATTTCTAAGGAATAAATGTCCTGTAACAAAGATCAAGAACAATAAGAAGCAGGAAGAGAAAGAGGGGGAGGAGGAGGAGGAGGAGGAGGAGGAGGAGGAGGAAGTAGGGTCAGGAGATGGGGAAGGGCAGGAGGAAGGCAAGGCAGTGAGAAGGATGAGGAGGAGAAGAAGTAACTTGAACATAGTTTTTTTTTTCTTATCTTTCCCCAGCATAAAGAAATAAAGATTAATGTTACATAAATATAGATTAAAATAGAAAGTGTAGAGAAATTTCAGTCAATACACGTATGATATTGATTTGTGCAATAGTCTAGCTTTTCTTTTTCTAATAGATCATTTTTTGCAGAGTCTGTACAGCCAGAAGTGATGATGCCTAAAGGGAAAGAAGAGAGATTACTCTCTAGTTTAAAGTATAGAAAAGGGATGGACAGGCGCTCTGCATTAATCAGAGTTCATGGAAAGAAAGAAAAAACATGGTATGAATAAAATTCTCCTTTTTGTCCCCAGGTATGTATTATGGTCTACATAAGTAAAAAATAACAAATAAAATTTCTATCATAGCACCTTAAACAAGTGTGTATGATTAGATGAGCCCAAACTGTTAACTAAATGGTAGAGTGAGCTTGAATGAATAAGAAAATCTAGTTCTGTTCTCCGGGTCTCTAAGATCCTTTCCTGCTCTACATGTATTCCTGCTCACGGCATGTCACCCACACTAGCCATGCTCAGGCCCATGATTTTCATGGGACCCTACTCTGTCCACTGTTTCTTCTCCTAATCTCATTGCAGAACAGAATTCCTCTTGTCCTTGGCCATGATGACTTGTTTGTGGTAAGGAATGGAACCAAAATCAGTACTCCTCAAGATTCTTTGACAAAGGTATCATCAAAGAAATTCTGTTGAAGCAGTAATCTAGTTAATTTTTATCAATAAGAAATTGGGACTCAGATATCAGGGTAAGAACCTGAAAGATGATTTCAGAAATACTAAGAAACCACGTAAAATTGCAAAGCTTTACAGAACGGCTCATTATAAAGGCAAACTTAAATATGTAGAGAAATATACCATATTTCTGTGGCTAAAACATGCCAGATTGCTACTATTCTCATTTGCTCGACATTAATCTGTGCATATCATTCATTTTGAGTATCCCTCATCCAAATCTGAAATGTTCAGTTTATTTGAAAAATTAAATACATAAGAATAGTTTAGATGAAACAGATGGGCTGAATTTAGGTGACAAAATAAAGCTATAAAAGTAATAGACAAGCTACACGAATAAGTATCAGCTAAATCTTGAGATGCTTTGTAATTTGGCTCCAATGTTTTATAACGCATAAGAAAAATAATAATGTGTAAGAACAGAGGTTTTCTGTTTCTAATTTTTAGAAACAGGGTCTCATTGTCTGGACCAGGTTGGCCTATAACTCAACATGCATCCAAGACTAGGTTCAAAGTCTTGATTTCCCTGCAGAGTGCTTAGATTATGTGAGAACTCATGATTACAACTAAGGTCATGAAATGTGTTTTCTACTATGTTGTTGGTAGTGTGAGTTAACTCAAGTTTTTTTGGAGGACAAGACTTTCTCAAGTGCAAATTTCAAAAACTATTTTAAACTATTGAAAGGCCCACAAAGAAAGAAGTAGTTAAACAAGTTAAATTCTAGCAAAATGAATACTAAATACTAACCAAATGAGAACTCCATGATTTTATATGAAAAATTCTTCCATGGGAGGCATAAATTACAGAAAAAAATTATGAGACCATATATGCAATCAAGTCACATGTCAGTTATAATTTGGTGCTTATCATGTGCAAGCTTCCAAAGTATGCATACACATGAGCAAGCTCAGCCTCTCATAAACATGTTTGCAGATGCACAAAACTTACACTTTTCTGGAACAGGACCACCGGAGGAGAGAGTGAATAGAGGAAGAGGTGTAATGACGAACAGTTCTAGAAAAGAATGAGGTCCCTTATAGCTAGACACAAACATTGCTTGAACAAAAGGTAGCAAAAATATCAGTATCATTTTCAGGAAAATGTAATAAAGTTATTTCCATTTTTAAAGAAAAATAGAAATATACTGTGCTTTCGAAGCCCTGGAATACATTCTTTATCAGTTTATGTGAGCTATTTTATCAAATAAGAATGGTTCCTTCTTCATCTTCATATCTCATATAATTTTTCCACATGACCAATAACTATTGAGTGATGGCTAAACAGAATGACAAAATACTTTATCCCAAAACTGTTGAAGGCTAGGCTACAAGATGGCTTGTGCTTCAGTTGTTTCCACTATAGACAACAGAATTCAAATTGTTTCTGTGTTTAAAAAACTTGTGTCTAAAGAGCCACTAGAAATCCCTAGAAAGGGACAAAGTCATGTCTTAAATTCAGTTTTAAGATTTGCCAAGAATAACTGCCAGAGAAATATTTATCAGCCAAGGGCTGGCTTTTTTCCTTCCTGTGTTGCTATTGACATAAATAGAAAGATTGTCCCAT